ATTTATTTATTTATTTATTTATTTATTTATTTATTTATTTATTTATTACATATTGTAGTTTTATTTTGTGACACTTTTATTTTGTAAAGCTACTTTACATATTTCAGGGACTTTTATTTTGAACTCCCTTTTTATTTCAGGCCGTTTTACTATTTCAGGCTGTTTTACTATTTCATGGCATTTTATTTCTTGGCCTAATATGCAAATGAGAGGGCAGAGTTTTCTCTGTGGTTTGGGATTCAGGAAATGATCTGTTTCACTGCTAAATGGGGGATACGCACCTGCCTGGCCTTTCTTCATAATTAAACACTCATTTTTATAGATAAAACACAGACATAAGTCCATAAATGAGTTGAATGACTGTCACTCTGTGATTACAAAAGCTTCACAGAGATACTTATGGTGGCTTTTGGCCAAATAGCCCTGATTTTTTCACTTAGATTAAAAATAGCTATTTTTTCCGGGTAGGTCAGAGCTTTGCTGGCCAAGCCGAATTGTTAAACATCTTCTATTCTTTAATACCCTTTGTAAGATAAGGTTTGCTTTTTAGATACTGCTTAAAATATTTCAAAGGTATAATACAATCTGTGCAAAATAAGATATAAGCAGTTATTGATTCAGTGACACAGTATATGTCAGCATCCTTAAAGAACATGTCCCAGTTTGTGGAGAGAAAACATCCTTTCAGTTCATCGATCTGGTCACTGAACCATACTTTAATTTTTCGTAGTACTGGTTTACAGGACTTGAACACCTACCTATATGCAGGTAACAGATTGATGACATTATGGTCCAAATTGCTAAGAGGGGGTTTGCTTTAGCAATGTAGGCCTCCTTAATATTTCCATCCAAGATGCTATTCTGGTATTTCTGGTGTTACACTTCACATATTGATGGAAACCAGGTAGGCACTTGTTCAAGTTACAATGATTGAAATCAGCCAATATCAGCGTAGAAAACATAAGAAGGAATATTATAATGACTTACTAAGTAAAAGTAAGGGCAGGCCCGGAGTGGCTAATCGGGACGATCTGGATTTCTCCCGGTGGGCCGGACTGATGCTTGGGCCGCAAAGGCTGGTCAGATCACTTCTACAGGGCTTTCCCTGTTTGCCGGCCATTTATATGATACAATGGCATGCCATACCACCAGGGCTGCCTCCACCTCTCATATCGGCAGCTCTCATATTTTTTCTTTTCTTTTGTCTTTGTAGTTGTTTTGCACTTTGACGTAACACAGCGCTTACATATACAGTATATGTAATTTTTCCCATCAACTGGAATATTTCCAAATAAGATGAAAATAGCTAAGGTAATTCCTGTCTGTAAAAATGGTGATGAATGTGTGTTCTTGTTGCCACAGTTTTCAAAAATTTTAGAAAAAAATTTGATGTCAGATTTGATGTCAATTTATCAATAGAGGATATGCTTTAAGTAGCAGTCAGTATGGCTTTACAGCTCATAATTCAACATCTATGGCTCTCATGGAATTGATAGAACAAATAACTTCTATTGATCAAAAACAGTACTGTGCTAGTACCGATTTGATTTTAAAAAGCATGTGACACGATTGACTACAGTATTCTTCTTGAAAAGCTGAATCAGTATGGTATTAGAGGACCAGTACTACAGTGGATATCTAGTTATCTGGAAAACAGGAAAAAGTTTGTTCAAATAAATGATGTAAGATCTGAACTCTGTAATGTCAAATGTGGTGTTCCTCAAGGTATTTGTTAATGATTTGATAAATGTGTCAGGGCTTTTTAAATGTGATCTGTTTGCAGATGATACCACAATTTTGTTTGGGTAAAGATATAGAACAGATGTTGGAAATGATGCAAACAGAATTTGTAAAAACACAAACTTGGTTTAATCTTAATAAAAATCTCATTAAATTTGGATCAAACTACAACCCCTGGCAAAGAGTATGGAATCAGCAGGCTTAGATGAGCACTCATTCAGACATTTCATTCTGTAAAACAAACTC